TTGATGACTTACTAGTGTAGTCTCCAGCCAAATTAGGTTCTGCCAAATAAATATTTAACTGTAATCTCTACATTACCCGTGGATCCCGTAAAGTTCAAAACTTTATCGAACAAGGAATTAAATTAAAAAAATAAGTATTTTCTGCTAATAAAACGATTTATTTATTAAAATGGATGAAGAAGCTTTCATAATTTATGACAAAATCTAAATAAATAAACGGCAAATTTTGTCTGTTTCTCCGTGTGTCTGAACCCTTTCTAACTTGGGCCACATTTGCTCTACACATACACACACACACACACACACACACACACACATATATATATATATACATAATCTGTTACTAGAATATAAAGCATTGGGATTTGTTTCCGGAATAATTTTTTAGAATTCAAATTTTAAGTAACTGAAAAAAATTAGGGATTTTAAAAGTTCTAATTTATATTGAGTTTAAAGTAACACAAAAACATTGCAAACTTAAATTTTTTGCTTTAAATTCAGTTTAAAATATCTCCATAACTTTAAAGAGGTTTTTTTGACGTAAGGTTTTGAAGTTTGTTTTGAGTTTGTGATTTGATGAATTCAGTTTTCGGCCTGAATTAGAATTTCCATCCAAATTAGACTTTCGTCCCAAATCGGCATTGGACTTGTAGCCCGAATCAGATTTAAAGCGAGGTTTTGGAGTTCCATGGAGTGAATTGAGGAATTCAAAGTCATTTCTTCAAATTCATCATTTCTGTTTTCTAAACTGAGGTCCAATTAGCCCTCCGTAGGAACTATCTTAATTTTCCGCTCAGAGTGCAACATTTATGCAAGTTATTAATATGGCCTATTCATACATTTTCCCTACCTTTCTAAATCCTCGCGTTAATTTTCAGATAATTTGTGTATTCCATAATAAAAGAATGACACTTGATGGCTTAGTCAAGAAATTAATCAAAGAATTCACCAGACAACGAGTATTTTCGCAGAGAAACAAAGAAACTGAAGATGTCAGGTCTACAAAAATATCGAATAATTTTCCACCTCAAAGTTTTGATTATCTGATACGTTGCATTTGTAACTTCATTCAGAAAAATCGCCACTTGATTTTCTTACAGATGAAATGGTCTTTTCTGACGTAATTATTCACTAGGCCACGTTATCCGTTGGGCGATTCGGTAGTAAAAATCCTAGAGACTTTAACTTCATGTATTCTGCCTGATCCTCCAACTAAGCTAGAATATATAAATTTTTTATTTCAATTAGGATGTGGAAGTGTGGGGGCTGAGACTTAACGTTCTTTGTTAATTGCTTCTACGTAGTGTTCATTTTTATGCTAGGTCTACTGAAGAAGTTATTTTCGCGACTATACGAGGGTTGATCAAATTTCTGTAGTATGACAAACGTTTTGAGCTGAAATTCTCATTGTAAAATGTTCAATGTGATTACTATTCATCCATGAATTAAGTGCACTGACGAAAAGCAGAGGTTATATTGAAAATAAATATTTCTGTCCTAAATAAGAGCTTTTTTTTGCAATCATTATTGATTAAAACCAAAAATGTACTTATTAATTTCAATATACGGATTCATATATACCGAGTATCTGCATAATTGGGCCACATTTATCTGTCCCTTGTGGGTTCCATTTAAGCGGAATTTAACACACACACACACACACACACACGCACACACACACACACACACACATATATATATATATATATATATATATATAGATAGATAGATAGATAGATAGATAGATAGATAGATAGATAGATAGATAGATATACATTGTTAACAGAAAAATCAACTTTGGATGGTGTGTGTCATTTTAATGCCTTAAATGATTATCAGGCTATTTGTTACTCGTTTAGGCTATCTATATAGATCACTGGGGGATATCTGACATAGGAAAGCCGATTTTACTTTTTTTTTATTTAGGGCTAGTGTCTTTCGTTATTTGTTTATTTTATTTTTTATTATTAACTGAATTTCTCTGGGTACTTTAACTGGTACATTGCTGGTGTAGCGGGTATCTTATTTCCATGTTTACATCTAGATTGGGTATCAGAGCAGGATTCTCTTATTAATTTTATAACTCTGTTACGGACAGAGAAACAAAGTGACACACGAAAAAGTAACAATTTTCAACCTTATATATCATATGTATGGCTGAATATGATATACTGTACACTAGTAATGAACAATTAAATGACAAAATGTTGAAGATCGCATATTATTTGTTTTGTTCTTTGAAAGGACTTCTTCAGATAAATGTTTTTTTTATCGATGGAATCATATATATATAGTGGGTAATTTATTGCATATATTCATAAAAGCTGAAATATTTATATAAACGTATAATTGAATGTATTCATTTGGATGTACTGATTCTTTTATATCATGATTTGGCGGAATTAAGTTAAAAAAAAAACGCTAACAAAAATGTCCGTATCATTTAAAGATAATAGTTCCTGAGAAAGAGGTCATTGTCTATTTGTAAATAGGTGAGGAGGTGAAAGTTGAAAGCGAAACCAAAAGGAGTTAAATAAATCAAGATTCTTTTCTCATCGAGAATTTCTTGAGAGTTAAGATAAAAATTCTTTATCAATTTATTCAATCAGTATTTGTTCGTCAAGGAAAAGAGAATTGAAAAAAAAAAAGAAGTGAATCAGTGTGAATTGAAAATGAATGGATAAGCGATAAAGAGGAACGAACGAGTTGATTAAAAGGGGGAATAGTTGTGTTTCAAAAAACGAGAGAATAAAAATGAAGAAAGAATTTTTAGTAAAGCGAGAAACTGAAGCAGATTTGCAATAAAGAAAAAAAAAACTAACAAAACGAAAATGAACCAAGAAGTAGAAAAAGAAAAAGAAAAAAAGAAAAGAAAAAACAAATCAAAAACAGGATTCATTACTGGCGGCAACAATCTTAATAACATTAGATATGCAGATGACACAGTGTTGATAGCAGATACAGAAAAGAAAATGCTGAAATTCCTACAGAAGGAAGTAAATAAAAGCAAAAAGGAAGGACTAAACATCAATTCTAAGAAAACTGAATTCATGGTTATCAGCAAAAAGTAGGGCCTAACATGTAAATTACAAATTGGAGATGCTAAAATCAAGCAAATACAACAAATTAAATATCTGGGAAAGGTTTTAACAGAGGACGAAAATGCGACACTGAAACCCGAAGGCGTATTGGGATAAAGAAAGATGCTATCCAAAAGCTAAGCAACATATAAAGAAACAAGAAACTATCGTTAGAAACAAAGAAGAATACTGAAATGTTATCACTATCAGTCCTCCTAAATAGCAATGAATGCTGGACAATCTCATCATAGATGAAGAAGAGAAATGTGGTTCTACAGAAGAATGCTGAGGATGCCATGGACTGAACACGTGAGCAATGACTAAGTTTTAGTGAAAATTCAAACCAAAAATGCAATTATGCTTAACGTTAGAAAGAAACAGTTGGAATTTCTAGGGCATATAGTGAGGAAAGCAGCCTAAGATATCCTAATGAACTTATGTACATGGTCAGGAGAGATAGCGAAAAGGCAGAATTTACTAAGGGCTACAAAGGACAGGAAATTGTGGAGAGCTATGACCACCCAAGAAGATTATAATAATAAAAACTGTCGAAAATGAATCCTGTAAAAGCCAGAAAGCCATGTAACCACTGAAAGATTATAATTTTTTTATAAGTTTTCCTACGTTTCATTTTTCACACTGTGTGCGTATTTATTTTAGTTTTCATTTTAAGCACGTACTCTGTATCAGAAATAAAGATTCCTCAAATTTTGTGCCAATTTTGCAAGCATTTTACGATTCTTTAGAATGGTCATTTTCAGTATTCTATCATCCGGGTTTGTTATCATCATCAGTTCTTCTAGAAGTTGTTTCCATTGTCATCGAATCTATCACTGAACCTGCCACTTAAACTGTAAGCTTAATTCTCTTTATTTTAATTTAGACAATAGAATCATCCATTAAATTTTATGAATAACTGGGTAAGATTTACTTGATAGAGCAGCAGTAATGCAGCATCTGACTTTTTTTTTGAAAAAAAAACCCCAAAAAAACGACAACAATAACAAAAACATACGAAGTTTTGAAATCATTTTAGACAAAAATGATAATTCCCCGTTTTACGAAAAGATACACAAAAAAAAAAAGGAGTCACGGTGGAGTAATGGATAACGGCTTGGATTGAAGAATTGGAGAGCCGAGTTCGAATTCATTATTCCAATCGAATCCATTACATTCACATACGGGCTAATACCCTTGGGAAAGGTATAAATCCTCTTCTCACCCCCCCCGCGCAAGCTATGTGTAAATAGCAGGACAGATCGGGTGCCTTGGATGACAACTGGTCTACCGCAGAAAGAAATTGCAACCCACTTCGGGAAAAAAAAATCTGCCTCGTCAGTCATGTATCGAAAGTCAATCAAGTCACTTAAGCTCGCCAAGTATGTTGTACTTTGCTTTGCTCTTGCCCTCTTAACTTAATTATTAAATTTTTCAGGTCCCCCTTCCACGTTATGTGCCACAAAAATATCAGCTGATGTTAAGTATAAGCGTCCTTTTCGTTGCCATTGTCTCCAGAACTTTGTCGTTGCTCACATGTTTGGTCCATGGTATTCTCAACATCCTTCTGTAGAACAGCATTTCTCTTGGTTCAAGCCTCGCATTCATCTTTGAGGAGATTGTTCAGCATTCACTGTCATATATGAGGAGTGATATTACATAACAATTCAATTTCATTTTATTTTTATTTTATAACGATTTTTTTCTGTTTCTTCATACTTGCTTTTGGAAGATATCTTTCGCTCTCTCAAAGCGCCTTCGGATTTCTCTAACAAACTTCCCTTCCTCTGTTAATACACTTCCCAGATATCTAAATTACTTAATCTAATCATTTCAAATCTTCGTTTGAGGTTGATCCGAAAAACTAAGATAGAAGTCAGTTAACCTAAAAAAAAATGTTTTGCAAATTAATTTTAAATTTCTATGAAATCTCCTTTCTCCAACCCCATCGAGGTCAAATGTAATACTTCCTCAAAAATGGTAAGAGGCAAGAAAGAAAATCTTGTCTATCATATTCACAAAATTCAGTTTCTTGATAAGCTCTGAGACAATTGAAACTATATAAACAAAAAAAAGACCCCCAAAAACTTGGAAAAATATAACGAAAAATTAAACAGACAGATCTTGTCACTTGAAGTTAACAAAGCTGATTTTTTGCCTATCTATCTATCTATCTATCTATCTATCCATCTATCTATCTATCTATCTATCTATCTATCTATCTGTCTGTTCATATCTACCTCTCTATATACCTCAATCTGTTCATATCTATCTATCTATCTATCTATCTATCTATCTATCTATCTATCTATCTACAGATCAGTTTTTGCCGTCAGATGATACCTTACCGTGAAACTCAGTAATGACTTACATCTGAGTTACTGAGTACTGGTTTGTTTGTTAGTAATACTGTTCTGTCTTGGTCTATGTTTTCAGAACCATTGAGTACTTTAGGATTTGGTGTAGTTTTTTATTTTTCTTTCTCTGTTTTCTTTTACTTCACTTGTCTATTTTTTTCTTGGTTTCTTTTTCTTTCACGTCTTTTTCCTTTGGTAGGCTTAGTGTTAGTCGGGTTGTTCTTTGAAACCTGCTTTATTTAATACACACACACACACACACACACACACACACACACACACACACACACACACACACACACACACGCACACATATATATATATATATATATATTTATGGGAAAATATGATATGTAAAATCTCTATAATAGCCCTAATGGTGGTTTACTGAATGACAAATTGAACCATTTCTAAATGCTAATTTGAAAAGATAAAAAAAAACAAAAGCTGTAAGAAGTTGAATAAGTTCGGTTATGTTGGGCATCTAGACATATCGGGTACCGGAAATTAAAAATTTTAAATTAATCTATCCAAGCATTCACAGGCTTTTTCTCAATGTATAACTCTAATCAACATTTGTTATATTTCTTTCTGTTTCCTTACATACATATCATTCCAAAATAATAAGAAGAAGAAGAAGAAGAAGAAAAAGAAGATTGGGAATAATTCTCAATCGTCTTTTCTTCTTTTCCTGCTTTTTCTTATGATATTAATTGGAATATATGTCATTATCACAGAGCGTCACAAGTCAAAAAAAAAAAAAAAAATAGGTAGGTACATCGATCTGAAACAGTAATATTAACCCATAAGGTCAGAATTCTTTGGGACTTTACCATTCATGCTTAGAGATATTTATTTACTTCAAACATTATTTTTAGTGGATGTCCGTATTTCAGGAGGACGCCCTATTTTTCTTTTAAAAAACTGTTTAAATTCGTCTACTGGTTTGCACACTCAAGAAAACGAACAGAAAATGTGCCCTCCTAAAGATATAAAGGATAATATAGTTGATATTGTGATTAATGCCATCTCATAGCTATCGCTGTGTTATCGGATTAAAAAGTATATATGTGAAAGAATATAACAAAATAAATAAATAGGAAGATTTTAAAATTGAAATTGAAAAGAAAAGTTGTACTGTAAAAAAAGTATTATGCTTATAATAATTGGAGTCCTGAGTACCATGAAAAAATGTACAGACAAAAAAAAATATATATATATATCTATATATTTGCCAGCCCTTGTTTATAAGAGATTTAAAAATTGATCTATGTGGAACTGCACAGCAAGCGAGAAAAGTATTTTCAATGTAAAGAAAATAAAAACACTGCATTAAATATCACATAACGTCAGAAATGGGGAAAATAAAATGAATGTTTACTACCTTGCCGTACCCCAGGTTTTGTTTAATGACACGGTAAGGGACTGTATCGATAAGGAATAATAATAATAATAATAGTTCTAGTAGTAGTAGCAACAGCAGTAGTCGTAAATCCCCGAATGGTTCTCATGTCTTCTGATGTTGATTAGAATTGTTAAGGTGTATACATTTTGTCTTTGATTATTGAGATACCATACATTTTTTTCTTTTTTTTACAGTGACGTTCACCCTGCACAAGGCCCAAGAGCTACTCAAGATAGAGGGTTACAGATAAACAGGCACAGTTTAGACAGATGAGTAGGGAAGATAACGTTAACCCTAGACATGACCAGGTTAAGATTGTAGTGATCGGGAAAACATCCTCTTGGGAGTCGCTTCCTCAGAACAGTGGTTCACGAAAAAAAAAGCTACGAGAGTGGAATTTATTTCTCATCAATGGAATACGAAGGGGTTGCTAAAATGTGTGTAGCATGGCGGGACCTATCCGTGAAGGTGAAAACTAGTCGAAATAAGGAATGTGGTTTGTCTAAGCACTTTCAATGGAAGTAGCGATAGTGTGCAGTGAGAGGTTCGCGACATTTCATCTGTGAGAAAGGGGTTTCAATGGGTAAAATAATTTGTCACCCATAAGAACGCGGAGGCGCCTTTGGACTCTATCGAGACGAGAAAGTAAGAAGTGGGTGCCTCCTGGCCTAATATGACAGTAATACTCCGTTAAAATCCTGATCCGGCTCTTGTAAAGGGAGAGGATAGCGCGAGGAGTTGGGAACTTACTGGAGCGTTGTAAGGAGCCGGTCATTTTTCCTGCATCTTTAGTGATGGATCATATGTACAAGCTCCACATGAAGTCTGCGTTAAGACTCAATAGTCGCTCAAGGCTCGGGGCTTTCCTGGCAGGACATCGATTCATCTTGACTGGTGGTAGTTTCGGGCCGGATCGGCGATGACCGAATGTAACTAGGTCCTTATTAGTTGCCTGACAACTAGTTAGGCATCTTAGGGTCTGACTCAATATCTGTCTCTGTTCATGAGTGGGAGTAGTGGAGGAGATAAAATTATGGTACGGTGTCGAGAAGAAAAAGTTTAAAAGATGAGATAGGTAAGGCGAATTGGAAATCACATGTAAATACTTGGGAACACAATAGAAAGCCTGAGCCAACAGGATTATCATACATGAAGGTATATCTTGCTGGGCCTCACCTACATGTTTATACTCTACTTTTATCAAAACCTTTCACTACATCGGGTACATTTGGCTGGGGTGCATGTACCTGGTATACAATTAACAGACGTTCGATATTACAATACTTAGTTATCTCCCTTGACGTTTGCACACGAGACTACATATTAAAATTAAAAATTGTACAGTACATAACCTTAGCGTTTTTCACTTCACACGTAAAAAAAAATCAGATGAACACAACACTTTTGTCTAAGAAAAATGATGAGCACAACAATCTTTTTTATCTTAGAAAAACAAGACCCTGATGACGGCATTTTGCTAATATGCATCAATATGGTAATTTTCTTTCTTCATTTAATAAGCATACTAAGAAATTTGTCCATAATTACTATATATATATATATATATATATATATATATATATATATATATATATATATATATATATATATATATATATATATATATATATATATAAGGGATCAGAGTATCGTTCTAGCTGCTATTCAGGAATAATGCACTATCAAGAAGTTTCGACTACGTGAAACAGGAAAGTAAAATAAGACATCTAACACTGTTTCTGCTGCACTTACATACAATACATTCTCCTGTACTGTTTGTGGTTTTTTGTGCAATTCTCGAGCCGGTCTCAAAAGTCATGCCCGTCATAGGCATGCAGATAATTAGTTCGTGATCATCGGAATCTCATACATCGAACTCGACGGAAGAGTCTATCATATATATATATATATATATATATATATTTGTGTATTTAAGCAGCAATCCTTCTTTCATGCACAATTCATTGAATATGACAGACAAAGTGCTTTTATTTAGGTTTTTATACAATTTCTCATGCGATCTAATAATTTTTTTTAATTTTCAAATGATAAAATTTATAAAAACTGACCGAATGTTCTTTTTTTCCGAGAACTTTCGGTTATACAGGATTAAATATTTTAACTGTTAAATAAGAAATAGTTTGTTGCATGTATTTATTTATATAAAGTTTTCATTTTTCAAAACACGGTCAAGATATTCTGTCCGTGTTCATAGTTGATATTATTAGGTGTTGTTTTTTTTGTTTTTATTAATAAAGCTTACATTATTTTTAACCCTTTTTTTGCATGTAGATAATGCTATTATATTTGTGTTGTCAACAAGTATGTTACGAATAGTGTCCCGTAGGTCTCCATGAATATTTAGATGAGATCTAATTGAGCTATGGTCAGAAAAATCTCACTTAAATATTCATATAATAGTCAGGCGTCTATTTTAATATACTCATTCGCGAGTTATGCTTGTGTTATATATATATATATATATATATATATATATATATATATATATATATATATATATATAATTATTTGTTGTTGTGTCTTCCTTTGTTCAATAACATATGAAGCTCGATATCGGTTTTTAAAGCATGTTGTTGTTTTTATCTTTTTAAATTTTATGATTATTTTTTGCAAACAATAATTCGCTTTTTTATACACAAGGCTTGGCTTTTAATGGTTTATGATTGAAGACACTCTCGCAAATTATTTTACTTTTCACAAAAAAATAAAAATCAGATACGAATCGTGAGTTTTGGTTTTGGAAATTTAAATGCAGATTCCCCGTTTTTATAAAAATTAATTAAATTTTTCTGAAGCCCTGAAAAGTTCACAGAACTGCGTTGCCGCCTCCCAGCTAAGGCTAAATAAATATACGGGAAATTAAATATAAAAGTAATTAATAAAATGAATATAGAGTTGAAATAAAAAAAAAAAAATCAAACAAATTTTAAATAATAATCAAATTACCAAAAGTTAAAGAATATTACAATAACGTGAAATAAATTTTTGAAAATTCTTTGGTTTCAGCAATATATATATATATATATATATATATATATATATATATATATATATATATATATATATATATATATATATTCGTTCATTGTTATGTTTTATTATGTAAATTTTGTTTCCTCTGAAGTTTTTTTCAATATGGCTGACAAGAAATGTCGGATTTTTCTGCACTTACTTTGTTCGTCTCGACAGCTGTTGGCGGAAGTCAGATGACATTTGACAGGAAGTCCTTTCAGCAATTCCTGGTACACCAGTAGCATCCAATATTGGCACATATACCACCACCACCACTAATATCTATCCTGATTTATCACTATTAATTTTAGATAGATATTAACAGACCAATATCAATAGGTAGCTAACTATATAGATAGATATGGACAGAAACGTAACGGTGAAAGCAAAGATTTATGCTACACAATATTTTCACTTCTGTGTGACTTTGTTAACTCCAATATGTAACATTCGATCTACTCAATCAAAACAAATATTTACACACCTTTAAAATATCTCGACATTATTGACTGCTACCAACGCAAAATTCTTTTATCAGCTATCTTTCTTCAAGACGTGTTTGGTAATGGTTCTCTGCAACTTTTCTGTACTTTGTAGTTCTCAGTATTTTTTTTTTCATTTTGCTAACTTTCACAAAACTCCTTTTGCCAACCATTTACCGAAATTCGATAGTGTGGGGACCTACCTACAAATGGACACTTCCACAGATATATAATATGGCTACCAACTCTGAGTAAAGGGAGTCATCAAGTGAGGG